TCAAAAAATTTCCAATTCAAATCACTTGAGTTCAGCAATTGCGCATCGTTCCTGGAAGCGTTAAGAACACCGAGTAGACGCTCACGGAATTAGAACAGTTCTTGGTAGGAAAGAATGTCGAAGCGCCGGTTAGTAATTAGCAAGGAATCGTCACACTCCAACAGGGCTTCGAGTAAATAGATATATATATATAAGTATAGACGAAATATCGACTATTGTCTTAGTACACTAGATCTCACACCTCCAAAACCTAATAACTACTCAAATTACATGAACATGCTAAATGTGTTAGATCTAAAACATGTAAAGGGATGGGAATACTAAGGGATTTAGTCTTAAGAACAATGATTCGAGAAATAAGCATTTTAGGAGGAATGAGAAGATTCGATCAGATATCCAACATTTATAGAGAACCTAAATATTTGAATATAATATTAAAAAATATACTAAACCAATCATGTTATTTCTCATGAGGGGTTATTTGAAAGCTCTTCCTCAACTTATTTTCACTAAAGATTCTCCCCTAAAGGATGTCTCCCCCAAGGTTGGCCCCAAAGGAAATCGGGTATTACAGGGCATCTGGCACCTCAAGGGGCCGTAAATCCGTAGCACGTGTTATTTTACGGCCGGTGGAAATGGTACCTCAGAGTGAGGAATATAAAAAGGCACGGGCGTTGGTCGGATGTGCGCTGTCTCGCTCTGCCGATCCGAGTACCGCCGAACCACGGTTGTGGAACCTCTTCCTCTGCGATGTGTGCTTGCACCACTGCTTAATAATTATCGGGGAGGACACAGAGGATGCGTACTAACAATTCAACTGTTGATAACTGTAATAGCAATGTAAATATTCAGTCGCAAACACGTTACGCTTAAGGGGTTCACTCAAATTCAGTACCCATTTATTTTTTAACTGACGCGTATTCTTCAAAGTCTTGGAGCGCAAACGCACCCTCATGTAGTTTTACAAATACGCATATTGTTCGTTGAGTGTAACAGGACCAGAAAGTTTTCTTGGGTGAATATGGATCAAGTGGTTCTTAAAAGCAATTATGTTTATATTCTTTAATTTTTTCATAAAAACCAGTCGCTTTTGTTTAAAAAATAACTGATAACAGTTCTAGTTTAAGGAGAAATTAATCAATTATTAGGTTAGCCTACATTTCGATCCAAGTCGTAGCACTTTCGTTCAGCAAAAGCCTGAAAGATCAATCAAGGTAAATGAGTTAACTTTTGTGAGTCCTAAGCTATATTTTCTTGGCTGGCTTTTCCTTGCAGCATTGCTGGAAGGGAGCCCTGATGAAGACCTACAACGCTAATTATCGGGCCTAAATGATTGGATGTAAATGTGAGAAAAATATTTTTAACATATTGAGAAAAAAATATATAAGGGAACTAGATTTCCTTAATGGAAATAAAGAACATTTAAACTGAATGATGAGATTCAAGAGACCTGGAGACTCTTGATTATCGTGGACATGGAAACAGGGGAATAAGAATAAGAAAGGGACGTCGGACATTTGTCTAGTAAAGAATCCAGCATTAGAAGACTCAATCGAGTTTTGAATGTTGGTTTAAGTTGAAAAAATCAATAGCAAAAAACTCACTTTTCACGTTTAAATTTTGTTTAGATTCCGAATAAAGAATACAACGATGTAGACATGGCAGAGTAAAATATTAACTTTCAATTTTTTTTGTTTAATGCGTGCAAAAAGTATGTTAATTATATCAGAGCCCCGGAGGTGGAGAACACCATGTCGATTTTTTTCATTAAATAATTTATTAACGGAAAAACAAATTTTAATAGTTAAAAATTAGGGACGATTGGCCCGGAACAAATACAAAAATGTGACATGGTGTCTTTTACCTCCTGGCTACAGATTTAGTAACAAAGAGACAAATTATAATAGATAAAAGTTATAGAACATTGGTTCTCCTGAACAAATACAAAAATGGACAAGTTGTTGTTTGCTTCTGAAGCACCAATATATGTTAAAAAAAAACAATATGATTAATATTCTCCATACTAAATTTCACAATATTCCTATTTTTATCATATATAAAATCTTAATTTCCTTCCATTTTTTTTTCTTTCCATTATTTTGACTTCTTGTTTTTATAAAATAATTTTGCGTTTAATAAATTATATTGTGTGCGATAAATTTTGAAAACTTTTTCTATTTAAACAATATACATATATTTGTGAAGCGTGTGCATGGTGTCGGCATAGATATAATAGCCTCGGTTTTCAAAACCCTTCAGAACCCAGCCGAGGATCAAAATTGTTTTTTTAGGACTGCTGACCCAAGCCGGCCACCCACTAACTGTTGAGTTACGTGCCCGAACTGACAGCTCCAGATCTACCACCTTCCTGTACTCAACTCATATACTAACAGAAGTGGTATACCAACTAACAAATAAATTAGAGATATACTGTATTAACATCGATGAGAAAGACGTAGGGATTGAGTCAGTAGAAGGACCAAGTTACGACATTTGATGACAGAACCTGATGGAAGGAGAAAAATATTTTATTGGTGAGTCAATGATGAGGCGCGAAGTTACTTCGAAGAGAAGAAAGTTGTTTCGGGGAATTTGCGAGGCCGGACATGTGTTCTTCAACTACATCTTCACAATTACATAATCGTCGGTCTGTCGCCAGTTATAACAATTTCATTATCGTTAGGATATAAAAGTTCTGACCAGAGATTTTTATATCAATGTTTCGTACAACATATACTCAAACATACAAAAGCTACAACAAAATATATATAGCCACATTTTTTACCCACCTTATACATACATTTTTTCCACCTTTTCAATTGCTTGATCATTTCATTGCGTTTCTATTTTATAGTGTGCCGAAATATATTCTACCAGAATCAAAAAATAGTTTATGCTACACCGAAGTTTTTAAATTTTCAAGAAAATATTTAGATAAGCTTTATAAATAATAAAGTACTGTTATAGAATTTTGTAATTTACTGAGTTGATATTGCTCATTCCTTTTCCTATGAAATTTATTAGTCCTTCTAGAGGTAAAAATAACAATAAAGTTATTCCTTGTGTAACACAAGAGTTCATTATTAAAAATGGAGTAGTCATTTACAATCTTTGATTTAAAATAACAATGGTCTTAGGCAATAAGAATATCGATTTATTTCTTGGACCGAATTGCGCTTCTAAACAAATAACTTAGGAAAATAGCATGTGCTTTTTGTAAAATTGATATCATACAGACCCTTTTACATTACTTACAGGCCTAGTTTCTGATTACTAAAGGGTGGTACATTAGGGCAGACATTAAGCACCCAACCAAATCACGCGATCTATTGGCGCCTCGGGAATACCCATGACATGCGATGTTACTCTTTGGGATTAAAGTAAGCTTACGTTTCGTGCACTGACGGCGGGCTTCATCAAGTTAATGTTTTCAGGGCGTATCCCATCCTACCGTCTATAGTTACGTATTGATTGCTTAGGCTCATCTTTGGGCTTAATGGATTGAAACATTAGCTAATGACCTGCGTTACTTTTACAGTACAGAATTTTTTTTTTAATCAGGGTTATACAGATTAATTAAACTTTTTATCTACAATCACTTAATCCACTTCATATCCCCCTCCAACAAAAAAACAAAAAAAAAAACATAAATTTCATGCGCTACTATAGGTCAACGATGAACAGGAATATGGTCTAAGGATTAAGGTCTTAAGACATTGAGAGAGTTTTTTTTTCTCAGAGAGAAAGTAAGCATAATGAGGGCCATTGAAGGAAATGGATTTCCATTGTGAGAACTGGACTCTCATGTGCAGCTATGGCAATTATTGCTACGATAGCTGCACCGGTAATACACCACAATTTCTCATGTTGACCATTCTTCTACAATAGAAAGTTGCTTTATTCAACCAATTGGAGTAAACTGAAGCATTAGAAACAATATGTCTCTAATTCCACGTCATTGGTCCGTAATAGCAGTATTGAGCTGAGTGAGAGGCGTTGGGATCTCCTATAGTCCTGCCTTTTCTTCCATAAGTAGGAGAAAGGATTGGCTCGGAGTTTCTCTGAGTGAATGATTTTTTTTTAATATTGTATAAAAGTATGTTTGTATTTAAGTTGTTATTTTGATCATTTTTTAAAATTTATTTCTATTATATATATTTAGTTTTAGTTATATTATGTTTCTGTTTAATTTATTGTACCAAGAGTGTGAAGGCGCTCTTTGGACACTATAAATGTCCTTAATTGAGAGAGATTGTAATATTTCTCAATAAATAAGTTCTAAAAAAAAATCCAATGTGAAAAACGAAGTAGTTAGTATATATCTTTTTTTTTTTTCACGGCTCTATTGCATATTTGTTGATTCTATCTATCCATCTATTTTTTGGCCTTACACGTGGTCTTTTTCCTTCTATTGAGGCATTGACCTCCGTGCCTTCATATCATGGGACATTGATGGACCAGTTTCTGTAAGCAGTTCTTTATTGGTCTTTCTTCTCCATACTTTAGGGCTCTGGTTCCAGATAGCTCCAGTTATCGTGCGGAGAATTTTTCTCTCAAAATAAGTATCTAAAGAAGTTATTATTATTCTTTTATATTATCATCATTCAATTAATTCAATATTTTCAGATAATTTCAATACAAGAAGCTTTGCATTCTCAGGCTTATAATAAAACATAATAATCCAACGAGATTGTCTATTTCAAACTTGCGAACTAGCAGAGCAGAAAAATTACAACGATGATTAATACGCCAGGTGTTCTGTGAAGGCTAGATCACGCAAAGTCTGCCTCTTCTGTAATCACGTACAAGTGGATTCATGATTCATTTAGTGTCAAAATAGTTTATTTTACTTTTATCGTGTAATTTTATTATATCTATTTTTAAATAAATATTGTTTTCTTGTGCGAATAAGATTTGAATTACACTCCCTTCCCCTTAAGTTCCAACAATGAATCGTCAATCTAAACTGTATTATTATGAATTCCTTAACAGAAAACGGTATGAAACTATGCATCACGCACCATCACTTGGAATGGCCTACTCCTAAAGAGTTGAGCCTGACCCTTTATAGATTCCATCCATCGAGAGATGAGAGGTCCGCCGCCGAAGATGGAGCAGAGAGAAGATGCCGAACCGCAGGTTGGGCAATCGAATGCCAGGATGCCAGCAAGGACGGTCACGCAGTTCTGCGGCTGTCAAGATCTGGGTCGCTCCTGTTTACCAAACATCCATACTTCGCTCTCCGTTCTACAGATCGTGGGGGATCGGCTATCAAGACGTTCCTCAAGGCCGCTGTAGATACCAGTTACTAATTTTGGAGTTCCACTCTCTTTGGGTTTTTGAATATTAATATTTAATATTAAATAAATTAATAAACACCTATATATTGTAAATGTAACCTAGATAAATCTTGAGATATTTCTTTAGTAATAATAGAGTGGTACACGTTTTGGAATGACGTTATTTTAGCCCTGTTGATGTTATGATATTTGGGAGTGCGGATACAGTGCATTGTCTATTAATAGCATGCTCCATTAAAAAAAAAACAAAAAAAACTTGACAATTATATTTTATAGCATCGAGCATCGAAAGGTGGAAATATTAGAATTAACTAGAATTATCGAAAATAGTTTTGATAAAAGTGAAGAAACCATAAGCTCAACTATTTAAAAAAGTAAAGATAAATAGTCCGTGGTACAGACATCTTTTATCAAACAGCCGCCTAAAACTTCGTCAATAGCTTCATCCCATCGTAACCTACAAGTTTTATATCTGCGAAAATTCTCCGAAGTGGGGTAACTTTTTCAATCTGGAGATCGGCAAACTTTGTCAATTTAATTACGTACTAAAAACTGTTGAATACCTATTTGCTTTCCATTGGAATCATAAGATAATATGATCACAAAGATGAAAAAAAAAGGAGGGGGCCTTCAAAAATATTGGGCCGTTTATAGTGGCTTCCACCCCCAAAATGCCAAAATAACGAGGTTATCTAGGTCAAACGGTCCAATATTTTTGAAGGCCACCTTTTTTTTTTCTCGATTTTATGATCATATTATCTTACGATTCAAGCGAAAAGAAAATGGGTATTTATGAGTTTTCAGTACTTAATTGAATAGACAATGTTTGCCAATCTGCAGATTGAAAACGCTCCAATTACAACAACATTCGTAAATAAAGATTTGTAGATTAAGATGGGATGTAGCCATTCACGAAGTTCCAAAAAACAATAAACAAATATAATACACAACAGTCGAAGATTTATTTTTTAAATAAATAAAATTAAATTAAACAAGTAAAATGTGATTTTCTGAACGGAATTAATTGTAAATTTATTCATTATTTAATAAGTAGTTCTTTTGTAACGATTTTGCATTTTTTTGTAACTGAAAACAAAAACCTGAGGTATGTGGTTTAGACCACACGATAGAAGTGAAAACATCAACAAGACGAAATTAATGATATGAATTATAAATTATAAATAATAGTTCATTATAAAGAGGATAAAATTCTGAACATATCTTTCGCTTACACATCCGATTTTTAGTTTTTGAGATATTTTAATCCATATTTTCAATTAAAATTCATTTGATTTTCGACACTATTTTTTCCTTTTCGCCTCCCAAGCACGGCGTTGTGTTAAGGTTCAACTTTGAATAATAGCTCATTGCAAAGAGGATGAAATGATGAACATTTCCCTCACTAACAATATGCAGGTCCGACTTTAAGTTTTAGTGATATTTTAATCCATACGCTAAAACACTCAGCCGACTTTACCCGTGCGTTACACATCTGAAATCTGACTGCTCAATCTAATTCACTCTCCACAATAAAGTGCAAAGCGCGCCTAAAAAAGTTTTCACTTCAATAATGTAACTACAATAATCAATATGGATAATATTCACTGGATTAGATAATCGGACATTAATAAAATGATGATATGCATATCCTGCCATCATGATGCTGACTACTTGGAGATTGCATCATCGGAGGACGACCGCAGAATGATGAAACACTCGGTAAGGACCGACATCTCGACGGTGAAGGAGATGAGGACAAAGCAGGTGCCATTCTGTCTAAGGCTCTCTTGGATCCACTTTCACTCGGATCGTACCTTCTCCGCCTGGGTCGGCTGGCTCACCAATTCACTCCGGGAGTCATCGCATCCATGTAAGACAAGAATAAAAACTCTCATCAATACACTATTACGATCGCTATAAAGATGTAAGCGAACTCATGTCATCTACTGCGCTATAAACAAATAAGAAGTATGGAGCAAGATTACAGCCTTCTTCTGACTTGTTTGAAGCATCGCAACTGCTTATTTTGCAACTAAGTATACAAATCGAACGAAAAACCACATTAGCCACAGAACAGTTAGAAGAATTTCTGCATAATTGGTTTTCGGATGCAATATTTTGCAGAACAAATAGCTCAATCAGAACTCAGTTGCAAAATGTCTTTCACTGGTGCTCTCTGACTGCTTGTGAACAGTGAAACTATGTTTTTTTAAATTTTTAATTGACTAAATATGATGATTTATCTATGTGCTTCTATCAAAAGAAGAAAATAATAAAGATATAATGGAATGGAATGATAAATAATAATGAATAAAAATAGAAAACAAAAGTAATAATAAATAATAAAGAAAATAATAATAGATTATTAATAATTAATTAATTGATAATTAAAAAATAGCTGTTTTACTCTTCATTAAATTTTGTGTTAATATATAAATTGAACAGAAAGTAAGTTGAAAGTTAACTAATGTTTAAATATATCCGCATTATGTTAAATTATTGTAAAACAAATTTCTACCACTAAGCTATACAAATGATAATTTTATCATTAATATGCTAATTATTATTTAATTAAATTACAAATGTATATTGAATTATTAAATGCTATTAGTTTCAACCTTATCAATAATATTCTTTTTTATAATTTATTTGTTCATATTTTGTCGATTAAGTTCTTACTTTACATTCTGCTCAAATATTAATTTAAATACTAATTAATAAGACGTTATAATTATGATTTATTGCTCAATTTGATGATAAATAAATTTTTATCGTGCAAAAACATAACCTTCATGAAGTTAGACGGAGTAGAGGCATCACTCCTATGACCAGTCCGTGTGAGTTGACTCCAGAAGACTGATGGACCTCACATACAAGGGAGAGAGACATAAGAAATAGCTCTACTCTCTTTTATCAATCACTAATCACCTAATATATATACATCGTGGGAACCTAATATAGGGAATAAAAGTTTATAAATGATTTAAAACATTTGTGGCGCTAGTATAATAATCGTTCACATAATTTACTAGATTGAATGTGCCAGATGATTAGGGGATATTAGCATCAGAAAACATTGCAGTAATGACTTAGCCCCTAAAATGGATACTTAATGAAGTATATTTCGAACATAATGACTCTTGATATTGTTTTATGAATAGTTTCATAAAATTTATTACATAACGTCATTAAATCATATAAGGAATAGAAGTGAGCCTACAGCTCTAAACGACTGCGATGAAGTGTGCAGACAACGAGCGAACAATTGTTAGAAATGATGTAACGGGCTTCCACTGATGTCTTGAGCAATTTATGTGACTCTTTTCACCAAATTGAAACTGTGATTTAGCAACCCTGCGAAATCTTATAAAATAAACTGGACGATGGAATCGTCATCGACGTTATCTTCTGTTGACGTTATGTTCTGCATCATCTCGGAAGCGCATTTTGTTCAATACTGATCAACGTTCTATAAAATCGGTAAATTTTTTAATCGTAAGCTCACAAAAAAATTGTAATTGACAATGACAAAAATCGTATCGATAATATTACTCTCGAATAAATCGAATGGTATATTATCGATAAAATTTAATTTCTCTCCAAGAAAAAAAAAACTTTCTATTCATTCATATCGTAAGAATTATTATATTTTTTAAGCCGAGACGGTTCTTCTTTCTACATATTAATTGATAAACCACATAAGTCATTGGAAATAAATGTTTCAGAAAAAAACCAAAATAAAAAATTGAGGCCAAAGCAAAATGGGGCAAGGCTTCCTAAAACGTCTGATAATTTAAATGTGATTGAGTTTAACTTCGTGAGACTTGTGGAGTTATGTTTCCAAACATTTGTTTTCATCCAAATCTTATCCATAGAATATATAGGAGTTATGGCAATGGCCGGATTCTCCACTCGAGCCATATATGTCTGGTTTATTTATTTTGTTAAATTGGTTTATTTTTATTTTCGTTTAATATCTTTTAGTTTATATACAATTTACTTTAGTAATATTATATTGCCGTTTATTATTTTTATTTATTGTATGGTATCAATGAGCTACTCTATATCACTATTGCTATTGTCCTTAAATGTGACAGATTGTAATATCTCAATAAAGAAGTTTAAAAAAAAAATAATATAAAAAATTTAAGTATGATACTCTGACATTTTGCTAGTAAGCTAAATTCATATATTTTGAAATCAAATTTCATAAAATAAAAATAAAATCTACGTTTAAATAGATAGATTGTGCAATTATATTGAAAATAAGAAAAAAAAAAACAATCATTACTTACTCTACTTCCCAGAGTAAGACTGTAAACCGGAAAATTTATACAAAAATCTATAATGATTGATAAAATTTATATAAAGAACGAAATCCGAAAATGGATTGAACGACCATTGTAAAGATGAATAGTAGAGAGCGAGAATATAAAAAGAAGGATTTTCTTACTTAAAAAAAAAAAATCTATTTTTACCTATTTAATTTAAAAACAATGATGAATCAATTCTCTTAATAAATTCTCAACTTTTTAAAAGAGTCCTGAATGAAATATGAATCTATTAATGAGTCAAACAAATGATTTTTTTTTCGAGAAAAAATAATTAATGATGGATATCCGTCAAGGCCAATTTACGTAAATATACCTTTACGTAAATATACATTTTAAATCAGTTTTGATTTTTTATCTTTCAAATTTCAACTAAAACAATCTTTTAAAAAAGCATTAGAACTAGTTTAAATTGAAGGTATGAAACAAAATTGTTTTTTTCTGTACTGACTCCTTTTAACGTCATTAACTCAAATTTATGAAAATGACATAAGTTCAAGGAAGACTATTCATAAATGTAGGGCACATACGAAGCCGTTCAAATAAGTACAATACGATTTCAGCGTAGGATATATAAAGTTTAATTTAATTAATTCATTAATAAGTGAATTGACATACTCAAAACTTTCACAAATTACTCAGAAAATGTCCTTTTTCAGTCTGTGAATAATACAACAAGAC